CTCTCTCTTCCCGGTTGGCTCTGTGCAGTTATGTAGAGAATCAGAATTGTTATATGCTCCCCCCCATGCGAACCCGCTCAGAATAAAAACAAACAGGAGGAGAAAAAAAAAAAAAAAAAAAAAAAAAAGAACACCCCCAAAAAAGGGAAAATAAATCGAGCGGTCAGAAATCTAACCGGGAGGGGAAGGGCATCTGGGAGAGACGGAAGAGGAGAGGGTTAATAAAAAGAGAAAGAGAGAGAGAAAGGGAGAGGAACAGAAAGGAGAGGGGGAGAGAGAGGGGGAGAGAGAGAAGCGAGCCCCCGAAATCAGAAAAGTGGCTGCTGCATATGGAGTTCTCCCAGCCAGCCAGCCAGCTCCCCCAGCGCCTGCGAGCCTGTATTTTGGGGGAAGTATAGAGTCTGAAGTGAAGAGTTGAGGGAAGGAGCACTCGAGTTTCTGAGGGACATTGGAAAACAGAGCTGTCCGTCACCGCCGCTCATCTGCATAGCGCGGCGGGCCCGCCCCCTCCCGCTCCGGCCCCGTCTCCTCCCGCGGCCGGCAGGCAGGCAGGCAAGCAGGCATGCAGGCAGGCAAGGAGGCAGCGAAGGCAGGCTGCTTTGTAATGCAAGCCAGTCTCTCCGACTGCGAGCACACTGCCGGAGTCAAACGATGATACTGCTCATCAGCTCCTCTCCGCACTCGCGGAGCCATAAATACTCTTTTCGCACACTCTCGATTACACCCACCCCCCACCCCCCTTTCCATACCCACGCGGGGAGCAGAAAAGAATATGCATTATAAATCCGTGCGTCCCTTCCCACACACGAGCGCTCTGTGCGCGCACGCGTGTCTCCGAAGCGTGGGGTCCTCAGGCGGGTGGGGCCGCGGGGCCGGGCGGGAGGCGGCCGCGGGGCGCGCAGGGGAGCGCGCTTCGTGCGAGCCCCCGACTGCCCTATATGGCCGGAGAGGAGAGGAGAGGAACGGCTCAGACCAGCAGCAGGTCCAGGACCGCGCTGTTCCTGGCAGCCAGAGCTTTGTAGTTTTTATAAAGTTGCCACGAACAGCCAAGATCGAGTCACGGAGGGCGTTTGCACGTGAAAGGGGGAAATAAAACAAAACAAAACAAAAATAAAATAAACCCCCTCATCTTTCTTTCATTTCTATTCTTCCCGGCCTGGTGCGTGGGGAAGAGGCCTGGGTGACTCCTTCCGGGGGGCTAGCTGCCTTCCCTCCCCCTTTCCCTCTTCTCCCCCTTTTGCAGTTCAGGTAAATCTGCTGGAACGGGCTCACGATGTAATTAATTTCCCAAATAACGTAATCTCTTCCCCTGTCCCCTGCCTCCGGCCCCGGCCACCATCAGCCACTGGCCATTGCCATCTCTGCCCCGCTCCGGATACACACGGGGGGACGAGGACGACAGGAGACGAAGGGACCGCCTAGGA